ATGTAAACTTTCAGACCTTTGGCTGTTTTCTTCCTATATGTTAGATGTGGGTCTTATTTTAAGATTTTACGTTTACATTCTCATTATTTGTCATATAGATTGCAGGGGGTTTTCACACATGTATACCGTGTACAAAGTGAAGACCCAATTTGCCAGCATTTACAACAAATATACAACTTTCATTTTCAGTGATAATGAGGACTAGAGATTAAACTGACTTGTGTTGCATTTGTGCAGTTCCTCTGGTGGATATGTTATTTTTCACCTTTGGCTCAAGAGCTGATTTGTGATGTAGTTAGTGTGCGTGTTTTGTCACGCGTCAAACTCCCTGGATACCTAAGTAGAAGGCAATGTAGAAATCTAATCTCCTTGTTAGCATGAATGTCATCTTTTGTTGTATATTTGAAAATTTGAATCAGAGGATGATGGTAACAGGTTTGTGCTGAACCAAGGGTATTGGTAATACGTAATTTGTCATATTCTTTGAATAAATTTTAAGTTTTAAGGCTCAGTCAGTTGTTTTTTTCCTTTTTTTCAGAATTGTTTTGTTCAGTCTACTACAATTCTATACTATACTAAACTATTAGTTAATCATAAGATTGACATATGAGGAAGGGTGTGCAGTGTGAAATATATCCTATATCTGTGTTTGACTACACTACTATTATTGCTTTTTAAATTCAGTGTTTTTGGTATAGTTCGTGAACTAAGTTGTGAATTAGTGTTAACTGATGTTTTTGTCAGATTTTTTTAAAAATCAATTGCATATAAGGATACTTTTATTGCAGTTCTCACCTTACTCATGCTTGCTTGAATGAATATGTATCCTCAGAAAGATGACATAAAAATAGTAAATGTATATTCCAAAAATAAATGAATCCTTTCTTATTACATGCTTCACATCCACTAGCAAGAGAATGAAAAAATAGTGCCTTTTAAGGGTCGTAGTTCATGAGAAATTTACCATAATAAAACCAAACCCTTTAGCCCGCTTTTCTACAGAGCAGAATATGTGATTCAGGTGCTGGCCGATATCTCAGGACATGAGCATGTGTTCCTCTGTCCCCAGCAGGCACGTGGCTGAGATGAGTTGGTGCTGCCAGGCGCTGTTGGCTGAACCTCGTGCCTGTTCCTGATACACCACCACATGGGCATCTCCTCATCTACATGTGCTCGCCCACTGCCCCCCCCCCCCCCCCCGTCCCGTGCCTGTTTTATGTCCAACTGACACAAGAAGAGATAGGAAGTAATTTTGGAGATTGCTGCTATGGTTTTTTTTTTAAATTTTCACACTTTAATGGAAAAATGAAGCAGCTAATCAATAGTCACCCTCCCACCTGTTCAAACATTTCAAATGTCACAAGTTCACTAACTCACAATGGGACTTTTAGCTTCAGGCTGGATTTGTTACGTAACAGAGCTGACTATGGGCTGCAGTAGCGTGTAAGGCGACCCTCCTGGTGCTCAGTAGGAGAGGATATGCTCCTAGGGCACTTTATCAGATGGACAGGGATCAGTATTTAGTATCAGTAAATAGTTGAGCATAGTTGGGCTTTTCTTAGCCCTTAGGAGTTAGTTTGATGTTGTTTGTTGTGTTTTATTGATATAGAAACATCATGTTACTTAGCAAAAAGGATAGTTATATGTAAGTTACAGAATGCTAAGATGTGGGCAGAAAAGTAGCTCGGAAGAAGCAATATGAAGTTATACATAACCTTTGCAGCTCTGACCCAGATCTTGCCACTCCCACAAACAATGAATTAATGTCACTTCCTTTGAAACACAGTTTGTACCAAGTATCTGGGTCATTATTGTTTAAAAAAAAGTCATGCATATGTGCATAAGTCAGACATTGAGCATCATACCAGCCCCCAGTTTTGAAATATTATTATTTATTATTATTATACTGTCTCATTGGTTTATCCATAATCAAATGATAAAAATACAATATCCTCAAGATGACTAAAACAGCTCTGCCGATCTCAACGCTGATTTCCCTGAAGAACATGTGTCAGTCACTTGTATACAAACAGCAGAACAATCACTTCATAAATCACATCTGTCGAATCACTAACAAGCTGTCTTCCCCATCTTGAGAGACATGTTTATAGACACACATATGGTCCAGCCTGACATTTGATTCACTAGATAAAATTACACAGCCAAAATAGTACCGGCACTGTGTCTGTTTAAAGATCTAATTTTGCATACAGCTACAGTACCTGATCTCAGACATGGTCTGTACACGTCAGAAGTTTCTGCATAGTTTCAGTTCTGTCGTTCCATGCTGCTGAATAGCTGTGTTATCCTGAATGGGTGAAATTGGAAAGCTATGCTTAGACATGAGTGTTTTTGAGGTCAATTTTGGTGGTAGTTGGCCTGGATTTACCTATGCTTGTTACACCTTGATTCTTTTACTGAGAACCGCAACAGGCCGATGCCTTACAGGTTTTTATGACACTTCTTAAAGCTAAGAGAACACCTGGTAACACTTTATTTTATGGGTCTGTAATTTAGTTTAGTTAGCAATAGTTTCCAGTGGAAGTTTCCTGGGAAGAACAATGCTATTTGGTATTAATGATAAGGAAACTAGGAATATCCTTGAAAGAAAAGCTAAGTTTTTACCCAAGTAAAAAATATCAAACAATTATTAGGAATTCTATTCTCAGATTACACATTTTGCATCTTTAGTTGACCTATAGTGCACTGACAAAAATAAAACTTTGATTTACTGTACACATGTATCACAGTTCAGTATTTACGTCCTCCTTAATATAATATAATATAATATAATATAATATAACCCTTCTATCTTTAATGAATCATACCTTTGCAAAACTGAGGCATTTCTCACTTATCTAGTAAAATTTAGGATATGGAAAGTATATAAAAACACACATTAACTTCATTGATACAATGCAATGACAAAAATGCCATGCCAGGGACAATTTAGCTGCGTGTAACAGTTTCAATATGACATGTATGTGGATGTATTGTCAGGTTACAAATACACAACACTGCAACAAAAGAGTGATGATCTGGGTGGAAAAAACATCACCATCATGAGCCTCCTACTGTATATACTGTAAATTGAGTGGCTCCAGGCTCCTCTGCTGTTCGATTGGTTGATTGGATTCTCCTGCTACCACAGCATCATTCTTAAAATGTATCTAACTCTTTGTAATTCGCAGGGTGGAGAGATGAGCGAATTCCTGATATGATCAGCCTCTTTATTACTGATGTAAAAATTTGTTATGAGATTCATTTTTAAATGACATATGTGTCATAGATTTTTCCTTTCAGTCTTTCTGGAAATGATCATTATCAAAGCCTGGTGTTGCAACAGAAAGTATTGACACTAGGGGCTTGTACGTTTGCGTCTACGTTAAGGGAGATGTTAACTTTGGACAAATAAAATGACTCACCAGATAAGGCGATGGAAAGTCTCACTGAGCTTAGATGTTTTTTATTAAGCTTAAATAAAATTAGATTTTGATGTTAAGATTTTTCTATTGGGGTGAATTACTCATTTATTTATAGCCGTCTGTACCAGATAAATAAGTTAAATGTGTTGTTTTATTCCTCACGTGTTTCTCTTTGTAGCTGCAGTGGCATGGTATCAATGGCCCTCTTTAAGTGTACAGTGTGAATAACAGTGATGTTCTGGCTGAGAGGACACTGGTAACACAATTGAGCTGCTGTACAGCGGAAACAGCTAACAACACGCCATTGTCTCTGAGTTCACACTGAGAAATAGAGATGAGGAATCTTTTGTGTCACTAGGGTCACGGGAGGCAATTGCAGGTTATTAATAGTTTTTAATTAATAATAATGTCAATATGAAAGTGAGTAATGTGAATTTGCCCTATGAGATCTTAATCCTTTCTCCTCAAACCATGGTTACAGAAAATCCCACACTCATTAAGGAAAAATACTGATGAAATGTATAATTATAGTACTACAGTAATAACTGTTTTGCTAGGCACTTTCTCAGTAATTTGAGGCCTTTTGTTGTGAGTGATTTAGCATTTTGTTTGATGACATTGTGCTTGTATTATTATATTATTATGCATTGTGCATTCATCATAAAGACTGCCGTATCACTGTGTGGGCTCTGAGCAGTAGCACTGACAACCTGTACGCTTGTGACATTAACTACACCAAAGACAAGAGCAAACAAAAGTAAAAAAAAAAAAAACTCAAATAGACCTTGACCTTTGACCGTGTGGTTTGGACTTGTTTGCTTTGCTTTACTTCAGTACTGAAGTTCTAGAAATGAAAAATTTTCCAGCGTTTTATCTCAGCCTGTGATCATTTACAGCTACGTACCATTGATGTTATTGTACGTATTGCAGAAAGTTTGGTGGACAAATTGAATGAGTGAGTGAATGAGGTCAGTTCTCGGCTGTTGAAAGTCACTATGTCAACTGTAGGGCTGAATCATTGCTACACAGTTGTACAGACCAATATAGAATATAGGGATTCATGATGCCATATTTCTGCTTGAGCTAATAGACTATAACACTACTCTTTCAATTTGAAATTGTTAATATTATACACGTTTTATTACATTGTTCTAAAACACCTGCGAAAAAGCATTTCTCTATAACTTAAAATATTCACCACTGAACTCTTGATGTTTCATATTCGTAAGAGTTTAACAATCTGCCTCATCAGGACTGTGTGGGTGTGATTTGATCAGATTGGATTGACAATGCTGTGGAAACATGATCAAACAACCCACAGGATATTGCTAGATAGGATCACAGAAATACATAAAATGATCAACTTTTCTCCAACCCAGCTACACCAACTTTAAACCAGTGAGAGACAAAACAAAAAAGAAGATATTGTGTTTAAATAGGAACTTATTAACGATAATAAGAAGCTGATTGAGAAAATATGTTTTTAAACATTGAAAGTGTGCAGCACATTTTCAATGATGTGTTCATGGAATAAAGTTTCTTATGTGATTCATGTCTTTTCTCACTGTGCTCTAGATATTCAAGATATTGAGTGACTTTAAAGGATCACCTTCACTGAATACAAGCCAAAAAGAATCTGTTACAACTTAGATGATGGAACATGCTCAGTCAGAGATGAACATCTTATCCAACGGGAAAAGTCATGACCTCGGAGATGATATGGGTGTGCCAATGAAGACGTTTCTAGATGAGGATCAGTAAGTATTCTCCCTTTATTTTAAACACAGATGAGGCCTTTTTTGTCGCTTACATACTGGTTAATGGCATTTTTAACACAGCATGTGTCAAGCACTTTTTATACTGAGCTCTTTTGTCTTTCTATATTAGTTATACTTGTGTGAAAACCACATCCTGGATTATTTAAAGTACATCATGATGGCTGAAAAAAGACTTTGATTTACATACCTTTGTCTCAGTGATAATAGTTTCCCATTAATATGACCCGAATAATGGATGTGGTGGACGACATACAGTACAACTTTCTTCCTGCATAATTTTCGTTTTTTTTTAAATGCATGTTTACCTTGTTTTTTGCTCGCCTCAACGGGTGGATCCTTATACAGAAATGGCACTCAAACAGTCAGGTATGTCTGTAGAGATTTGTATGAAGAATTTTTCAACTGCATTTGTTTTCATACATGTAATAACACAGAATTAAGCATGCGATTTTAAGCTTCAGCAGATATGTGAACAGTTTTTGCAGGTTGACAGACAGGCCGTCAATTAACGTCATGAATCTGCCCCTTAGATTTGATGATCCTGATGGAGGACTGGAGAGTGAGGAATTCTTGCCCACTCCAGATGGAAAGAAACCTACACGCTTCACAGATGTAAGTGTAAAAGTTTACAGACATAGAACAACCAGAAGAGCATCGTGTTCTTTTTTTGCTGAAACAAATGTGAGATTTATTGTTTGCTCTTGTTTTTTCCCCTCAGTTTGAAGGGAAGACCTCTTTTGGCATGTCTGTCTTCAACCTGGGTAATGCTATTATGGGCAGTGGAATCCTGGGATTGGCCTATGCTATGGCCAACACTGGTGTACTCCTTTTCTGGTGAGTAAATAAGTATATTTATCAATAGGTGGTCAATTATGGGACACCATGCACCAAGGTTGAGTCATTGCTGCAGCGACCATGGGGTTGACTCCAACCTGTGGCCCTTCGCCCTATATACATATATATATATATATATATATATATATATGTATATATATAAATAGGTGTCCATTTTATAATTAGAATCTGTCACTTATCACACCAGCCAGTCACGATTCTAATGTATTTCTGAGGATTACAGGCTTAAGAATGAGCTGCTTTCGTGACATCTTGTAATATATTATGTCCAATGACATGCCCACCTCTATTCATACCCCTTTTCCCATCCCGCCCCTCTTTGCCATGTTACAGAACCTAGAAAGGCCATAGCCCGGAATAACCGAACCCCCAGACCCTGTGTCATTTACTTCCTTCTGCTCCTTGCAGAATGCAGCTGTAAGACCACAACCCCTGGTTTCCTTGGTCATGTAGTCTGTGTTTGTGTAGCAGCAGAGAGAAAAGTAGCAGGCCTGAAATAGAGAGTGGCCTCAGCGTCAGCCGTAACTGTGGAAATAGTAAGTTACTTCACTGCTGAGTAGCTCCGCTAATGAAGAAGGCTGCAGGCTGTTTCCTATGAAATTCCTGTTAGTAATTGGGTCAGTGGTGTTATAACTATACATAGTTGGTGACTGGTTTTATGTAATTAGATTAGAGACATTTCATTTAAATTTAACACAGGTTTTCAAAGCAACCTGAGGGTTAATATCAATATCATGAAAAAATGAATTGGCTCTGTCTAACAGCGTGTATAGAACAACACACTGTAATACATCACGCCTGTTATACGAAGCAAAAAAAGAATTATGGAAAAACTGTAGTTTACTGTAGTAAGTGTCGTCAAATGGTAGCATAGTGTGTATTTTGGTATAAAGTTTATTAACTATTTCAGCAACTTTAAGATCGCATGAACTCATCACACTGATTTGGCACAGAAATATAATTATTATTGATATCGACAAAATGACAACCAGTATTAAAACATTATAGCTTGCTGTTAAGTGTTTATTTGCAACTTATTTTTGAGTTAGGTTTATGCTTATAACCTATTTTCATTATCATTTTAATTTTTCTTGCTATTAGTCTGTTTTTAAAACTAAGTTTGATCCCTGGTTTCGATGGGATTAAATCTTTTAAAGGGAACAGGCATCAGACATTAAAACAATCTTAATTCCTAGAAAGAAAAATCTAAAGGAGTTTTCTAGGCACATTAGCCTAATTAGTTATATATTATTTCAGAGCCTCTATATGAGCATGTCATTAAAAGACAAATGTTTGCATTGACACAAGCTTCTTACCACACTGCTTTGTATAAAGAATATCTGCAACATTTTACCCTTACTCTTTGTACCACCAACTTTATTTCCCCCATTGTGGCTCTGGTAGAGATTATAGCCTATAGTGTCAAGAGAGCCGTTGATCCACCAGCAGAGATACAAATAGACATTCTCATTCCTCGTCAGTGTATTTCCAGTGAGACACAGAAATAAAGCCAACATGAAAAATCTGGTGCCTTGATAAATATTTCACCAGAGCTTCAGGGATCCAGAGGAGGATATTTCTTCATATAGACAAGGCGTCACACCACATGTGATTATTTCCAAAAGATACAAAGCAGACCTGTAAAATTAATGCTTGTTTGTGAGTTGGGAGAGGTTGGACAGTTTGCAGTTTTCAGTGGAATCTGAGGACCTGGCCTCCATCTGCTGCTTACAGAGGTGGCCAGAGGAAAACAATTCCAACTTCAGTTGTGGCTACAAGAAAAACAGAGTGACCCAGCTCCAGACCCATTAGGAATGCTGACCTGAGAACCCTGTGCTCAAAAAACATTCAGTCTGCGCGCTTAATAACCATCATTCCCTAAAAAAGACCCATAGTATAGTTTGCGCACTATATTAGAACAAACACAATACATCACAACTTATGCATATTGTTGATTGTAATGTGTACGGGAATGTACGGAAAAGGAATGCCAGGATCATAGAGGGAATGCAGAATTTGGTGTAATATAAGGTTTACCTTTGTAGAGGTATAATGTACAGGTATATGACTTTTCCTTCTGTATTCTGTCACAGGTTTCTTCTGACTGCAGTTGCAGCTTTGTCCTGTTACTCTATTCACCTGTTGCTCAAATCCTCTGGCGTTGTGGGTAAGCCTTGTGCCATGTCTTGGCCTTTTGTAAAGAAATAATGTAGCTATATTATATATTATATTATGAGTTGAAAATCCAACAGTTTTGCTACTTCTGGATACCAGATTAGACCAAAAGTGACAAAGACATCTGACTTGTTAGGGACCATTTAGTCAAAATTTGAACTTGAACTTTTGACTATTTAATCTAAAAAAAGGGGGCATGGATTAAAAGGTAAAAGAGAATTATAGTCTGAGTCCTTTAAGCACTCACACTATAGCAGTAAGTATGCAAGTTACAATAAAATTGTTGTTTACTTGCCAGAATGATTAGTATGCAAAGGATTTAGTTTTCAGTCTGCTTAACTTCTTTATTGGTTTAGACTGATTATATGGATTATAAAGCATACATAATGAATTTGTTTATTCTATAATCCAGCATGTGTCAAAGTTTAGAATGTCTAGATAAACATTAAAACTGTGAAAATGACAAATGTTTCTTCACCCACCAATCAGGGAAGTACAACTTTCTATCATTATTATTATCATAAGTATTTTATTGTGTTGCACAGAGGGACGTCTCAGCAAGCATAATTGATTGAATATTATTGGTTGTAATCCGTTTACAGGAATTCGAGCTTATGAACAGCTGGGGTACAGGGCCTTTGGCACTCCTGGAAAAATGGCTGCTGGTATAGCAATCACCCTGCAGAATATCGGAGGTGAGGAGCCAATGTGACCTAATAATTTGTGTTTGTAAACTCACTGTAGCAGAAAAACATGAATTATACACAATTACTGTACGTGGCTTAGAGTTTATGTCCACCCAACCACACACACAATTAGACTCACTTAAACGACTCGTATTACATTTTTGGGATATATGGGGATTTACTAAGAGCCAAATTAGTGGTGCCAGATTCTTTATATTTTATGTGAACTGTTAAATGATTGATTTGTATTTATTGATTGATATTTTTATTGGTTTTATTCTTTATGGATTTATTTGGTTGATTAGTCGACTAATTGTTTGGTTTATAAAATGTCAAAAAATAGTGTTTTGTGAGTTTACTCTCACATAACAAAACAAAAGAGAAGCAGCAAAATGTTCACATTGGAAAAGCTGTAACGTATAGCTGAACAACCAATGTGAAGGTCTAAATGCTGTTTCAAAGCAATACAATTCTATTGGAGAAATATGGTCTTTTATTTGTCCAATTTAAATATACTGGGCCTAACAAAGATCTGCCAATAGAATACCACCATGTGTTACTGTTTTTAAATTGCAGAGAGTAACCTCCTGGAGTTTGCTAAAACAAGAGTACATGAGCTCAGTGTCCTGCAGTAGCTACTGCTCTGTCACTTACACAATCATATTGTTATAAGTGTTCTTGTGACATGGCTTAGGTGGTATCTGTTTGTTCAATATGCCAACATACTTTCACTCAATTATGCTTAGCTACGCATTTTCACATTTTCTCTGTCTCGCCTGTTACAGCTATGTCCAGCTACCTGTACATTGTTAAATCTGAGCTGCCGCTTGTCATCCAAGCTTTCCTGAAGGAAGATACCAACTCTGAGTGAGTATTATTATTTTAGTAATAATTTTTGCTTTTAAACATTTCTGTGCCGTTAGTGAATGGCGGTTGATTACTGCTATGCTGTTGGCCCAGAGCTCAGACACTGTGTTCAGGGGTCAAGGAGCCTGGAAGACTATGTGGGCAGCAAATATTTCAGTTTGCACCATTCATTGATTCAGTCAGTGTGGGGGTGTGATGAGAATGGCAGCTTGTAATTGGCTGAGCAACAGGGGCCAATGGTTGGGTCCTATCTGTCAGTTATGTACAGTTTACACACAATATAAACCCTAAAATACATATACACACTTATAATAGCTGTCAGCTTGCAGAGGCAAGTAGAGTTTCACGTCAGAGTCACACCACAGACACAGACACTCTGCATAAGGCCATGGAGGACTGAAGTGGATTCCAGCTGCCTGTTCGAATCTAAAAAAAACCCTTGTGCTCAAAACAGATCACAGCCACTGCCGCCGTCCCTTTTAAAACATCTCAGGCCCAAAAGATTAAAAAAAAAAACTCTTTAGAAATGTCAGCAACGTGTCTCAACCTTGTGTTTCACATAAATCAGAATCAGCTTTATTGGCCAAATATATACACATCCAAGGAATTTGACTCAGTTTTTTTCATTCCTCTCAATGTACACCAGTAGGAACAGCCATAACAGCTAAGAACAAGGACAACAAAGCTGAACAAATCAAGGTAAAGCATAGACTGGACTGTTACGTACACAAGTATGTGAAATATATATATATATGAATATATATATAAAAAATACCAATGACCAACAACATGAATAAAAACTCTATATAAAAGTCTTCTATAAGTTCTAAACAATACAAATAGCACAAAGAAATATATATTGAATGGATATACGGTACATTGAGTGGATGTTTATGTACTGTATATGGAAGACATTTCTATATATAGTAGATGCACTGTGCAGGATTTATATTGACAGTTCAGTAACGGTGCATGATCATATGTACATGTTAAAAACAAAATAGTACATTTAAACTGTAAAAATATAATCTGTAAAAAATAATATCTATAATGGAAGTAAGCGGATGTTTTGGTTTTAGAGGGTTTTCGTTACCAAATGACATTTAAGTGATGGCCTGTGGGAAGATACTGTTATTGTGTCTGGTTGTTTTGGCATACAGTGTTCTGTAGCGCCTACCAGACAGACAGACAGTCCTTATAGGGGACGGGTGTCTCTTTTGTCTTACTGTTGTCTAATTCAATGTGTTTTTCAGTTTTTATGTTTTAAGACAGCACAATGTCCTTTTATCGTTGATTAATGTTAATTAAGAGTGCGATAGGCTAATATTTATTTCTATGTTTGTGTGCATTTATGTCAGGGTCAAATGCTTAGCTACAATCCAAATTGACGCAAATTGTTAGGACTCTCTCTATGTCACAGTCAGGTACACACACACACACACACACAAATGACAGCAGCAGGTGGCATAACATGGGTGCCAAATTTCGAGGCAGAGCATAAGGACAGGTCAGCTCAGGGCCGGCTCGCTTAACCGATCACACACACACACATACCGTTCATTTCCACTGAAAGCGCCTCTCGCTGTTCAGATCCATGGCGTCAGTGGAATGAATGGTGGGTGGGGCGTGGGTTTGCAGTTGAGTATTAGCATGGTCATACAAAGACAAGGTCAGATGTTTGGAAGATATTTGCACTTGAGACTTGACTTGGACTTGACTGCTGTAAGACTTGCCTCCATGACAACTTGCGCCAGACTGATACTAGATTTTTGATGCCGATACCAATACCAAGGCTACTAATCGTCGCAGCCTCCTGCCATGGTCCTGCTTGACTGCCATTGCTAATATCACTGATATTATTGTTATTATTATTATTATTATTATTATTACTACAGTTACT